CACACTCTGACTGCAAACGAGTGATACTGGCAATCAAGGTGGCTGTTCTGTGTCTTCAACTTTAGTGGATGTCCCCTAAGGTGATCATTATGAGATAAAGTCAGCAGAGAACGGCAAGGGTGGTTGGGTTAATGCAGTATGTGGTATGCCAATATTAACATTGATAATAATTAAGATGTAAGGTTTGTGTTCACTAATAGTCGATTAGCCTGCCTTGTTCTTTAGGACTTTTTCGAATCTCTTCGGCATCGGGTTCACCAATTTTATTATGAAGTCATTTTCTATTTTGTGCTCCGTCACATATCACACTTTTAGCGTCAATATCCAATGTACAGGTAGAATATTGACCACTCTTTTCGAAACACAGGACAGATTTTCAATCACATTGAGATCCGGGCTATTAGACAGAATTTGCATGAACTGGACCTTAAAGTTATGCATCTCTTCTGAATTCCCAAAGCAGTTAATAAATGAACCAGTCTCCCTAACCAAATTAATTTACTAACCTCCCGTGAAACATGACACGGAGCGTTATCCTGAAAAAAAAAGATATTTTTCCAGATCATTTTTCATGAAATTCTGGAAAATCTTTCGTCATTACTGATAAAAATTTCCCGCTATTTATGGTGCCTTTGACTGATGTCTACCGACAAGACTAATCATGTTTTATCCCTGCCCAGATGAGTATTCTCGACCGGTGAGAGATTCTTTCGTTTGGTGGAATAAGTTCTTTTGGGAAATTCTCACCACAAACGACTTATTTGCGAGTCTTTCAAGGCTCGTCGCACACCATGCACTCGTCGACGAAATAAACCGATCGCCAGAATGACGCAGCTCGAGATTTGAATTCTCGGGCAAAATCAGTATGATCCTGCCTTTGCTGCGCGTTCAATGGTGGCTTGACGTCAGCTGAAGGGATTGTGAATAGCGAGGAAGATATTCCCGTTGGATAGACGACAACGATTTTCTGCAACGTTTTTTCAGAGTAATACGAATTAGGTCGTCCTCCTGTTTGAATGTACTTGGTTTACGGCCTCCACAAACTGTTCTGGTTGTTGTTTTCCATGTATTATCCTGTAAATTGTGCATTTGTTAACGTTAACGCATTGGCAAGATTTAATATGGAAACTCCCAGCTTGTGTGCTCGTGAAATTATATTTGTCCTCCTCATTGAGATAGCGAGAACTTTTGTTTTCGAGCGCTGATTGCTTCATTATGGTGACAACAATACGAATATTAGATTTTTATTATTAGATTATTATTATGAAACCTTGTATAATGCAATTTCTTCGGGCTGTGAAAGAATTTCATTTGGTTATTCAATAAAGTTGCTATAATGGATTAAATGTCGGATAAAAAATTGCCTCAACGGACAACCGAGATGCTAAGGGTTTATGAAAATAATTTGTGATAATTCTTGAGTCATTCCTATTAGAAAATATAGCGTTTACATACTTGATCAAGTTTACGATTTCCTGTTGAGATTATTTTATCTTGACAGCCAAGGTCAGACACGTTTAATTGACAATCATGCAGCCTAGAAACTACGAAGATCGAAGTAGACAAGAGATAAATTATTGTCCTTACCTAAGGCACTAATATAGTTGATAACTATAGTGGAACTCAATTTGATCTGAAAGATAATATTTTAGTGCATCATGATCGGCCGGTACTGTATATATAATGCTTTTCTGTCCAAAATAAATTTTCTACAACAGTACGATTGTATACTCATCCATGGTATCACTCTCCGAAGAGTCAATGAAATGGATAATAGTGTCGAACCCGTCATGCGTCTGTATCATTGAGATAAATATTGGAATCTTACGATCAGTGGTTCCACTTTTTCTTCGCATCAGTCAAGTTCCAGTCGACTTCAAAACGCTTCGGGGAATAACTGCGCTATCCACCATGAATAGATCGGTAATTTGTGGTGATAATGGATAGTTGCAAAGTTGTGTATAGAAGTAACGTAATTATATGGATCTGTTGGATGCACTTCGCTCATCTTGCAGCCATAAGTTATGACTAAAACCTACCCTTAAGACAATTTAGCAGGTTTAAGATATTCAGTGGAATTCCAGGATTTTACTAAATTAAACTTTTGCTTGGCTAATGGATCGGATGTGTATTAAGGTCATTCACTCTTGATCATCTTCACTTTCCTCTTCCTTTTACCTTTCAGCTTGAAGCAATTGAACCACAGTCTTCCAAAGCAGCTGACACGGTGTGTAAGAGTAACGCTGACCGATTGCTAAACGGCAAAAATCTGCAGTCTTCGCGGCCCAATCGTTACAAACGTAGACTAAGTCCATCCACGTCAGAACCCCGAGCGAAACACAGTGCTTCAGGCATGCGATCTAACCAGAACTCGAGAACATCAAATTTTACTCGACAACCTAATCACGGTTCAAAACCGACCTGTTTCTCATCACCATCTAATCAAAGTTCGAGGCCGACGGTTTTCACTCCACAACCTGACCAGGCTAAGAACACAACTGTTTTGTCTCAGCAACATGTAAAACCCATGGAACCAGGAGCTGAAGGTGAAGTAAAAAACATGCAGGAAGCTCTGGTTATCTCTCAAGAACTTGAAGTTCTCCGACAGAAACAGATCGAATTGGAATCTCAGCTGAATACCATACAGACTCAGTTAAATGAGGTAGATTATATTTGCTTTACTTTCCGTTGTCTTTTTAATTAGTTAAAAGAGTTACTGGATGAACTCGTAAAAACGAAATGGCGGTTATTATCTCAGTTCTGTTAATATTTATTCACCTGTCGGTCTTCTCAATTAAGTTGTAAAGGTTTCATCGTTCGCTGTGAGCGTCATTTGCGAATGCGGCTTCAAAACGGTTGTTTCTTCGATAATAAAACGCACCGAAGTAGTTGATTCGTGAATTCCGCAAAGATGGGCTGCTTGTTAAATTAGTGCTCCTCGATCACCTAATACTCTCCTGGTTCGTATGC